TTAAATGTCCGTGAAACTAAGGAGAGCATAGACTTGAGAAAACATCAGTTGTGAGCAGTTTCTCATTTCCTCCTCCAAGGGAGGATGAGCAATTATTTTGTGGACACCTAGCAGTCCTCTCTTGCTTTCTTCCTCTTACTTGGTTCATGAGAAAAGAAGGTATCAAATGAACCTTTCCAAGATCTGGAGCCATCCTTGTCCAACTTGATGAGTAACTACCTGATTCAAAAGGAAAATAGCCATTACTTACAGAGCCATAATATAGATGCAAGGTGGCATGTAAATCAGTAACTCTTGTATTGCAAAACAGACAAATAGATTAATGCATGTTGCGAAGGATGGGTGAGGAGATCGATTAGGTTACTGATTCAGACCATGAACTTTCTCTCAATATACTTCATTTAACTTTTAAATAAGGTTTAGGAGAACCTGTAACATTTTGCCCACTGACAGAGCTATATTTTACTAAGGGCAGAAATTGGCTAGTCTATAAAAATTAAATTATGCCCCTTTCACTGTATCTAGTCAAGAGGAAAAACTCTAATTACAAGATTGCACTGTCAAACAAATGCAAATTCACATTCTTTATACCCTGGTTTAAAAATTCATACTGGAGGAGCCTTCTATTCTGAAATGAGAATCAATATCTAAAAGTATTTTTCAGAGTGCAATACGCAAGAGTGAAAGAAACATCATTATCAAGGGTGCTGGTAAACAGACATGAACTCATTAAGGATGGAGCTGGAGGGAGCAAGTCATTAGTTATGCAAACATTTAAATATCAATTAGTGAGGACCAGGAGAGAAACTGAACCAAACTTCCCATCCCCTCCAGCCTGCCCGTGCGTTATCATTCCAGACATGACCAACAAGAAAAAAAGGCACTGAAAACAATCTAAGCAGGGAATGGCACCCTGGGGGGAAAGCAAAGGTTAACTTTGAATGAACTTCCCAATTGAAAATTAAATGTTCCTGCCTCAAAATTCATAACAGCCGAGTTTGTAAACTCAGTTCAGAAAGGACTAAATGAAGGCCTGGGTATATCGAATCACTGGTGGGTCTTCCTTCCTTCCTTCCTTCCTTCCTTCCTTCCTTCCTTCCTTTTTTTAAAAGAATGGTTTTCATCAGTGTTATTAAAGTCAGGTTGGCTTAATTCATTACAATTCCATAGTCCACTTAAAAGCCTATCTTTTCTACATACCTGTGACAGCTGCCCGTTCACACAACACTCAAACTTTAAACCAGAGTTGTTGGTCTCCAATGGTTTGACTACCTCATCACGGCCTGTTAACTTACTCAGATGAACTTTGGGGGAAAATGAAAAACTGTCTTACATTCTGAAGAATTTTTCCTGGATTACCTTTTCAGACAAATCTAGCAGTCTGAGTCTATAACTTGATTATGTGAGGGAGGCTTCAAAAAGTTCATGAAAAAGCAGAATTATAAGATAAGCTTATCTTGGCACACAAAAAAAAGGTTGAGCGCCATGAATGTTTTTTTTCCCCCACAATACTTACTGTCTATGAACCTTCAGAAACCCTCTCACATAAGGCACTATGGACCATGTTCTAGCAGAAGTGCTGATCTGGGGGCACCTGGCAGTACCAGCACCTCTTAAGAACAACAGGACTGGTGCCCAGTGCAGTAGCCTAGTGACTAAAGTCCTCGCTTTGCACTTGCCAGGATCCCATACAGACACTGGCTCTAATCCCGGCAGCCCTGGTTCCTGCTTGTGGCCTGGCAAGGCTTGTGGCCCAAAAACCTTGGGACCCTGCACTCACATGGGAGACCCAGTACAGGCTCCGGGCTCTTGACTTCAGATCGGATTGGCTCTGGCTGTTGTAGCCGCTTGGGGAGTGAATCATCAGACTTACTCCTCTTTGTCTGTCCTCCTCTCTGTATATCTGGATTTCCAATAATATATATATTAAAAGAACAACTGGCTGGTGGACTTGGAAAAAGCATTTAATTTTTTCTGGATCTTGTTTGCTCCCCTGTAACAACAACAACAATAGCAAAACGGTTGTTCAGATCAACAATTCTCAACACCAGGTACCCCAGAATTACTTGGAGAACCTATGAAAGATACAGGCAAAAAAGAAATTCCTTAATCTTATGAATTGGGCTTCTTCCAGGTGGGAACTTGGGCATTTGTAGCTGAACAAATCTCCCACGAAGATTCTCACAGGCACCCTTAACTACAACTTGGGAGCACCTTTCAGCTCCAAGATGCTAAGATTCCCAGACCAATGTGCTATTTGATCAAACCAGTGTAAATGAATAGAGATAGATAGATGATAGGTAGATAGAGGGACAGATTCTGTCTTAAGTTTCTAATGATGTCATTTATCAGGCATTGCTTTTCTTCCTCCTGATAGAGAAGTTGTCAATGAAACAGAATGACACATTTACCAGCTACAGCATAGAGAAATAAGGACCTTGCCAGGGGACTACCAGATATCATGAGACATGACCTATAAAGCTCCCAGGAGAGAGTCAGGTGCACAGAGAGGGAAGTCATTACGGTTATTTCATAGCCAGAGTTGCTGGTTTGTTCTGTGCACTCCCTGTCAAAAGTCCAACTGAGGGATCACTAACATCATCTGGAGATAAAAATGGAAGTGCCCCAAGAGCATCAACCCCTTTGGGACACTCACACAAATGTATTTGATTTGTTCTGCTAAATTTACAATCTCACATACCCAGACCCAATGTCCTTACCTTGGACTTCATCTACTGTGCTTGTTTCTCAAACTTCACAACCGAGGCTGTCCCACTACTTCAGTGTCTCTCCCTCTTCTTGTCTGGACCTGTATTCCGAGGGACCTGGTTTGGTGATTAGGTGCTTATCTAGCTGAGCCACACTAATAGAAAATGAGCAACCCCATGCTAGGTACTGCTGGACCATCTCTGCTAAAACTTCTAGTGGGCAGGACTGGGGCTAGACTATCGGCTCTGCATTTCACTGGGTGTTCTAGAGCACAGAATGAAGCCATGTGAAAAACAGCACCTTGGATACAAGTAGAGAGAGAGTGACGTTTGTCTTAGCTGCCCTTTCAGGGAGGAAAAAACGTCCCTTAGAGAAAGGACCTCCTATGACTGGAATTTTGTTCACATTTTTTTTCTCAACTAAATATATACCTATTTCTCATAGGGGATGAACCACGGTACCCAGACAAGCCATGACCTTGAAGATGCTGAAGACGGTTTTAATGTATTCATGACACAAATCTATTGTGCTGGCTCTAAAACATTCCGTGGGAAAAAAGCTATAAAGACTTGAGATCACAATAAAATGTTTTCAGGGATTTTGACTAAATTCTTTCTCTGCCTCCTTTTTTTTTTCCCCCAAAGAATTCAGACCTTTTCTTTTCCCTCAAGAACTCAGAGATAAAACACAAGTAACAATCACTTCTCAAAATTTCGTATATTGGGGCAGCACTACGATGGAGCAGGTCAAGCCACCTGCTGCCTAGGACACTGGCAGTTCATAAGAGCACCAGCCACTGCCAATGTGCCTCAGAAATCAACAGATGACCCTTTGCCCTCATACCTACACCCATGTGGGAGATCCGGAAGAAGCTTTTGGCTCCTGATTTCCTATCTGCCCAGCTTCGGCCATTGCAACATATTTGGGGGAGGGAACCAGAGGCTGGGAGATCTCTGTCTGCTCCCTGTCTCTCTGTGTGTGTAACTTTGTCTTTCAAATGAAAACAAATACACCCTCATTCAAAAAATCTTGTATATCGATCTAAACCATCATCATCACTAAGTTTTGTCCTATTTTGCATTTATAATAGCTCTAATCACACATCTCAAAGGGGTGCTTGGTGCTTTGCTTGGACAAGCTACTCTTAGGAGCAGATATGTCACTCTTTTTCTCACAAGAGAGATTGTGGTGGTGGAAGACTCCCACCTAGGCTGGTCATGTCCTGTACAGATCTGAAACCTCACCCAAACCACAGCTCAGCACAAACAGCCTCCTAGCACACTCCCCTTACACCACCCCAGGGTGAGCATCAAGATATTTGTAGACCTGCCCCTGAGAGGGAGCTACTTTCCCAAGGTGCTGGCTTTAAGACTAGTGTCTGCATTGCCAGTGGTTAAAGGAATCAGAATAAGTTCTAACTACTTCAGAAGGGCTCTATGCGCAGTTCACTCAACTAATCAGGAACAAGATGGGTTCATTCCATATTGCCCACCGTGAAATACTATTTCCCCTTCTTTACAACAGTCTTAAAATGGCAAAGGCTCGATTTCAGAATCTGACCTTGGACTTGAAGCAACAGTCCCATACATTCTCCAAAAGTTCCAGTTAACGCTTTGTGGGGGAGGGAGGTGGGGTCTTTGAGTGGGAGTTGTCCCACCATAAAGATTTGTCATCCAGAGCCACTGAGGTCTGCTCCCAGCCAAACTCCTTCCTTTGTATCACTTCAACAACCACGGCTCAGCCAGCAGGCAACTGGGCTGGCGGGACTGTGAACAGCCTTTCTTTATAAGACCTTGGCAATTTCTGCCCAGAGTTTGATGCATTCGTTCTAAAATTAAATAAAGATCCGAAAGTGTTCTTCGAAGAAATATGGGCGGCTGTGTGACAAAACACATTTTTCAAGCTCTGACCCCTGGGATCTTTAACTTGCTCCATATTTCAGGCTGAAGCTGTTCACTGGCTGGTGCCTAGAGGCCCAAGCTGGGGCTGGCTGTTGGTGTGTTCTCTACCCTCTGATCAGCTTTCGGCGGAGGGAAAGTGAGAGGAGTAAATAAAGAGAAGCCTTGCTGATTTAAACGTACTCCCTCTCCTGAGTCCCTTGGGAAGAAGCCCTGGTAATTAACGCTAATGAGATTAAAGCAACTTGGACCTCTCCATTTTCCCAGCACTATAAAAGTACCTCTGCATTCTGTCAAAATCAACTCTGCCTGCCCTGTAAGCGCCCCTCTTTGACCCTCACCTAGGCCCAGGCTGCAGGCTACCAATCGGAGGGACGAGCAGAGGGCTCTTACCGGCACTTTGTTCCATCACTTCTTTCTGACACATGTCTTGGACGTTCACCGTGCAATTCACGATGAATTCTGGGGAAGAACAGTCGTTGTTCAGCTGGAATTCTTCACACTGGTAGCACTGAATTTGCAGCGCAAAGCCTGTGAGACAGACCAAGTCGATTCAGACTCAGCACACGGAGCTCCCTCCAGCTTTTGGGAAACCAAAAGGGTGTGCAAACGGGGTGCATAAGACCAGGAGGTGGGGGCTCTGCACTTCTGAGTCTGCTCCTAGGTGGGATTGGTTGCGGCTGAAGCTGGCAGCGGTCAATTGGGGTCCGGTAGAATACAATGGAACACCAGCCCGCAAACCCTGGGTCCCAACTCGCACAAAAACAGCCCAACTAACCTCATCCCCACGGTCCTTTTCCCCAAAAAGTTGGGAGGGGGCGGGGGGCGGCTTCCCAGCTGGAGAGCAAAGTAGTTCCACAGACATGCGTCAGCTCCAGTCGGTGCCAAGGCATTTGCCTAACTGCTAATTGGTTACAAATTACTTAATTACTATTTTGGCACCATTCATGATTGCATACGCAGACGCCTTTGTGAGTTTATTTATTTAATTCTCGAAGTGCTCACGGCTACTGAGCGGCTACGCAGGAACCCAGGGTGGTGGTGGTGCGGCGTGTGAACAGCTGCTACACCCCGGGTTCCCGGCTAGGGTCCGCGGCAGCTCTCCTGGCCCACACCAGCCGAGGCGGGGTTGGCTGCAGTGGGTGGGAGGGGGCGTGTACTGCGTGCGTGTCTGTGTGTTGTGATGTGCGCGGAGTCACCCAGGCCGGCGACGCTGCAGCCCACCCTCTCTCGCTCTCCTAGCCCTGGCTTTCAGAGCACCGGGGTCTGTCGGGAGCGTAGGGGCGAGCAGGACAGGGAGAGCTGGCTAGACATTTGTGCCCCTCATCGCTTCAACGCGGTAGGCTTCCTGTGACTTAGCAGCTTCTGACCATACCGCGCTGCCTGTACCTCCCCAAACCCTAAAGCCGGGCAGGGTGAACCCGCTCCCAGCGCTATACCCATCTCACTCCGAGCGTAGCAAACCCAGTCCAAGTGCGTCCTGGGCCGGCCGCAGGTTGCCCAGAGCGCCGCTCACCTGTCGGCGGCGCCACTCCCACGGGTTGCCAGAGACGCCTGACAACTTGCAGGGGTGCACGGAGTGTCGCTACCTCTCCCTAGTCAGCAAGACTCAGACCCTCGCTCCTCCGCAGCTCGACTTCTCCGTGGTGCATCCGGAGCAGCTGCAGCCGGGAGACCCATAAATGCGCCGCTGCCCGCTCTCCTCCCGCTGCGCGGGACTTGGAGACTTTCCCAATCCGCTGCTGCTGGGCACCGCTGGACAGGCGCCGAATTCCCACTGGGCAGCCCCGGCGAGACGGACGTGCAGGGAGCCAAAAGGACCACTGTGTATGGGAGCTGCGTGCGCCCCGCCGCGCTGCGAGAGAGGTCTTCTTACCTGGAAGCAAGAACAATCCGCAAAAAGTTGCTGTGATGCCGAGGACCCACATCTTCCCGGAGCCGCGGGACCGGGAGCGGGCAGGCTCATTAGAGGCGGCGACCACGGCAGAAGCTGCCGGGGCCGCGACGGCTGTGGCTGCCGATGCTGCTGGGGCCCTCGCAGAAGCCGCCGAGGCCGCCGTGAGGAGCCGCAGGTGCCGCCCGCAGCGCCCGCATCGCCCGCGCGGGACTCCCGGCTGCGGGTGGCGGCTCCTCCGGTTGGCGCTCTGGGGCCGAGCGCCGCGCAGCCGGAGTTGGTGGCGGAGACTGAAGGAACTACTGGCGATCCTCAGCACCCAAAAAGTCTCGCCTCTCCTCTCCTCCCTGTCTCCCTCCCGCTCCGGGCACCACGTGACGGCTGCCGAGTTGGGGCGGGGAAGGCCGGGACTGTCCCTAGTCCCCACCCCCTCCTGCCGCCCTCCCTGCTCGCCTTCGCACGTTTTGGAGAAAGGGATGAGGGGGCGGCTGTAGTTTTCAGAAGGTAGGCGGAAGGTAGGCTGGAGGTTGGGGAAGGCCCGAAGAGGGCGCAGCAGGCGCCACAGGGACGCACTGAGCACAGACGCAGCGGCCGGAGTGGTGTGGCTGGGGTGGATGGTGTCCAATGCGAACCCCGCTCCCTGGCTGGGTGATACTCCCAGAGACCGCGTCCGGTCCAAGTAGCAGCCCCTGCCTGACAGCTGGCGGGTGTGTGTGTGTGTGTGTGTGTGTGTGTGTGTGTGTGTATGTTGGGGGGTAAGATGCTATGCACCTGCTATAGTTTTGCACTCTCCATCTCCCTGGGGTGTCCCGTGCAGCCTCGCCAGTCTCCTCTTCCTTCAAGAAGCCTCTCGGGATCGGTCTTGACTGGGTCGGGGTTCGGCTGAGGCAGGATACCCATGTGCTGGGGCTCCCCGCTCTGACTGGCATGCATACCCTGGCTGCCCTCTTGTGCGTGAGAGGGTGAGTCCCCCGTCGCCCGGTCCAGGAGAGGGCCGTCCCAGCAGCCACAGCCGCTCGCTCTCACCGGAAGGCAAATCAGGAGAGAGGGCGCCGAGTTTGCCGTCTTCCATCTCTTTTTTTTTCCTAAAGGGTGGCAGCTCCAACCAGCTTTCCAAAAGCCGCTAGTTTTTAGGATGCTCGCGTGTCCTCTCTAGAAAGGCGCTGTCCGTATCCGGGACCGGCAGCTATTTGATCGCTTGAACCTCATCCCATTCCCTTAAAAGCCCAGTCACCCACCTTACGCACGCCCGGGACGCCACGTTGCAATTTTCGCCCTCCTCGTGAGCTCTGCAGCAGGTGGTGCCGGAGCCTGCTGGTCCACCTGAAGCGCTGCTGGTGCCCCAGCGCCTAACCTCTGAAGCCCAGACTCTAGGTTTCCTAGGGAGCTCCCACCTCAGCGAAAAAGGCCTCCTCCGCTCTGCCCAGTGGGTCCCCCACCCTGGTGCAGCAGTCTCTCCCTGGCCGGGGCGCTGACATTTACCTCGGTTGCCCTGCAGAGAAGCAGGACTGGAAGAGGGCTTAAGTGAGTTTTTGTAAGCCCTCTGCAGAATGCCTTCCAATTCTGCCTCCAGCTCCTCAGCTCTGGCCCCCATATCCCACTCCCCACCCCCGCCTTTTTTTGCTGGTTAGCCCTTGGTGGGTGGGTGGGTGGGGAAGGGGGTGCAAGGCTTGTTTGCAGATTACTGGAGAAATGGCCCAGTTTATTTATTCCTTCCGGGAATCTGGCCCAGGGGGCCCGTGTGAGGTTGAAATGACGAGGTGGGTCGCCAAAACGGGTAAAACAGATGTTTTGTCGCTTTCACAGGGTGTAAGGGCGATAGGATTTTTATTCAGAAAAGAAACGAAAGGGATTTTGAACCTTAGGAAGGACAAAGGCATTTTACATAGTTTCATTTAAGATAGCAAAATTCCAATATAGCAGATTGCACAAATTAACCGAGTTAACACTGATCTTACAATAACACTCTTCAAAGAAACAAGTGTGTGCTAAAGTAACCATATGGGCCCTAAAAATATTTCTATTAGGTCTAGTTTACAAGCTCCTGTACAAAAGCAGTTATAAATAGTGCACATCTAGAAAAAAATACACACAACCTTTAAAATAGAATTTATCCTTACATATAAACAGTCTTTGTAGAAAAAAATATTAAAAAGTAAGAATTTTTTAATAGCACCGAGCATTCGTTTTATTTAAAAAGGGAACACTGTCAATAGAAATGTGCTTTCCAGAGTGCCCAGATTTTTAATAAAAAGAGCAGGAAGATAAAAATCAACAGATTATATTCAGGATCACAGAGAAGCACTAAGTAGACAAGGGTGTGAAGCAATGCTAGGAGGCAAAGCCGGCTCTGGGAGGAGAAGCGGGGTGCTTTTGATTCAGTGTCACACTTGGAATCCGCATCCACACTTCAGTGCCCTTCTCATTTGTCAGCTGAAACCGAATTACATGTATGACTACAACCTGAATCCCTGGCAACAATTTTCAAATTACGCTAGGAGGGGACTTTCCATCAAACTGAGACGGTGAGATGAAGATGAGATTGATGCCTGTCTTCTCCTGCAGGCCATGTGGTAGCTTTACAGTCGGGGACAGCGGATTTCACAATAGACGACTGTAATTGTTACAAAAATATATTATCATCCGTCTCTAGGGCTCTGTACATCATTTCAAGAGCATGGCCCTGACTCCATTTATTGCTGTTTCCTTCTTTTTGCTACAAATATAATTTCTTTTCCAAAAAAAAAAAAATTTTACAACTTCTATACAAGTTTTCAAAAAAAAAAAGTGCAAATTTTAGAATTCTGTGTCATGGATCTGTTTACTTTTCATCCTCATGAAACACAACAAGTGGGGTCTGGCTCTATTGCCCTGCCGGAGGAACAAGCTCTGGTGTGTTGCCTACCTTGAATATGACAATGAGGGCATGGAGTCGCAAACATTTCCTGTCACCATCTCTACCTCTGTTCCCAGTCCCAAGGGAAGAGGGGGGAGAAGGCTTTTATGTATCATTTGAACCTTGACTTGCACAAGAAGAGAAGCTGTCATATAAAGAATCACTCAAAGACTCCAAGTTATCTAGCCCAGGCCTGTCTGAGCTACTCAAAGACGCTTCTTCATTCTTTTCTTTCTCTTCCTTTTGTCCTTCGACCTTGTTAAGACAGCTCTTTTCTTTTCCTAATAAAAGTACAGATTTGCTATTAAATTTATTGAATGATTCCATGGAAACTTTAGCTAATCTATTCTCAGGATCTTCTGTTTCTTCAACTTGTTTCAATTTCTGCAATAAAAAGAAGAAAATATTAGAAACATTTCTTGGGAAAATCAAGTCATCCTATCCAATATTCAATTATTGTCTGCATAAAGTACCGTTACAGGGCTCGAGAGAACTTATAAGTCTTTAACAGTCGTCTAGGATAATTGAATGTAATGATAAAAAAGGTAATTTTAGGGATAAATCAAACCTTTATTCATTTCACTGAGATAAATAGATCCCAATTTGCAAACTTGTTAAGTGCCACTTAATTTAAATGAACCTATATGAAATGGAGTTAGGTAAAATGCCTTATTTTTCTTAAAAGTTTTAAACTCTTCACTTTCCAAGCTAAGTATTCATTGCAGTTTTCCAAAATATATGTTAATAAGGACCGGATTTCAGCTAGATGGTTAATGATTAAAAGAAAAAAGTATAAAAGCTCTTAAATTGCCATGAAATTTAAGTGGATGTTGAACTTAATAATCCCTCCTTTACAGAAAGTTCTATCAATGCAATTTATACTAGGATCTTTATAGCATGTTATCATGACTGTAACTCCAGGACTTTATACAATACTGGCTTCTATAGTCAATAATCATTGCAGGTGAACGCTGGAAACATAAATATGTTCAATTGCTCAAGTGGCTCATAGTGTTTGGGGTGAGGACAGAAGGGCAGAGATGAAAAGAAAAATGAGAAGAATGGCAGTGCTAAGGTCTTGAAACAATTTCTTATCTTCTTTTACTCCTTCAGGCAAAAATTCTACTCAAACACCAGGAAGAGGCAGGAACAGAGGCTGTGAGACAAAAATAATTCAATTTGCTAAGACTCCACTGGGTAAAGCACATAGCATAGATTTTCTGCTTCAGCCTTTTCAGAAATGTGCAAGTTAGACATTTCCGATTTCTTTTTGGTGTTTTCATCCCAGTTGTTATTTTCTTAAAGTTTAATTTCATTGTAATTGTCACATAATTGCACATGGTATGACTTTTGGTAGCTGTACACATTCTGTCACAAATCAAGTTATTTGGCATATTTGTCACCTCAAACACTCATTCAAAACTCTGTAGTTATTTTGAAATATACAGTACTGGGAGCCACTGTGTACCAGAACACCAGAACTTATCCCTCCTAACTATAATTGCTATTCTCACTGACCATTTTTTTAAAGATTAATTTTTCTTGCAAAGTCAGATCTACAGCAAGAAGGAGAGACAGATATAAAGATCTGCCATCTGTGTTTACTCCCTAAGTGGCCACAGGGCCCAGAGCTGAGCCAATTTGAAGTCAGGAGCCAGAAGCTTCTTCCAAGTCTCCCACGATAGTACAGGGTCCCAAGGCTTTGGGACATCTTTAGCTGCTTTCCCAGCAGGGAGCTGGAAGGGAAGTAGAGCAGCTGGGACACAGACAACCATATGGGATCCTGTGCCCAGCCCACTCAATGATCATTTTTAAAGACAAAGAAAATAAGGCTCAGAGTGACAGTTACCTGTCCAAGTTACCCAAAGGTGGTAGAGAACAGAATTTGAAGGTCCATCTGGCTGCTTCCATGGTCTTCCTTCCACCCAACTACACTCTTTTCTAATAGAGGACAAGTTGTCATTCTTTTTTGTTTTTCATTTTGCTACCCAAAATATTCCAGTTAAATAACTTATGGAACCATCATGCTATGTCTTCCTGTTCCTCACCCTGACCCCATTCCCCATCCTCATGTTGTTGGACTTAGAAAGGTACAATTAGGGAAAATATATACAGTCCAAAGCTTATGGACTTTTCCATGCTAAATATTTCACAGAAAGAGAAGGGAAAAGGGAAGGGCAAGGGTAGGAGGAGAGAGAAAAGAGAAAAGTGGAGGGGGAAGGAGAGATGGAAGTGGATGGCTCTGGTTTCTCCTGAGTAGGTACTGGCAGAGTTTCCTGCTACTGGAAAAGGTGCAATTCTATAGGAATATTTGAAAGTCATTCCTTAACTAGCACTCATTTCATTAAATTATTAACAGGCAGTAGCATTGCTCACAGAGCTAATTTTCCATCTCCGAGGGCTACCT